CAGCCCCCCTCAGAGCAGATTGTAGTACTCTTGCATGTGTTTGTTTATGAGTGCATAAGATAGAGATAAAAAATGGAAGTGAGGAATATTATGATCTCTTAGAGTATAAGGTCTGAGGAATGGAAATAAGGATGGAAAATAAGGGCAGAACATTCTTGACCAGTAGCTTTCCTAGGTTGATCCCACAGTTAGTTTGCGTATACTTTAATTTTGAACCGGCATAGTTCCCAACCAGGATGGGTAAAACAGGATTGGCTAGTCTTAAAATCAAAGACCCTTTAGCTTAAGGGAAAACATTTGTAGAGGGGCACTTGATGTGTATGTGAAATCCTGGGGACAGTGAAGAGTGAGACGTTTCTCTCTCTCACACACATTAATACTGGTAATCATCCAATGAAGCTGGTTGGATTTAGGACAGACAAACGATACTTCTCACATAACACATCTATTTAACATTTGGAATTTGTCACCACAAAGTATCCTGATGGCCACGAACATAGATAATTTTAGAAGTGGGGTTGATAAATGTATAGAGGACAGGTCAACCAAGGGCTATCGCTGATGAAGGATCAACGCTACCTGTGTTTTGTGAGCTTTGCCCCTCCAAACATGAGTAGGGGAGGGGCCTATAGGTCTTCCTTCTGAGCATCTTAGAGGCATCTGCTTGTAAAAATAATGCTGAAGTAAAACAGCCCTTTGATTCATTTGGACCTGGAATGGGGAACTCGTGGCTCTCCCGGTATTTTCAATATTGCTAGCCATGCTGATGAAGATGTAGTTCAGCTCTATTTTCAGCAGCCCAGGTCCTCTGTCCTAATGTGCCCGAGAGTGAAATCTGCCTGTAGACAAACCTGACTGACTTGAGTGTAGTGCGCAGGAGTACACACAGATCCAAATTATTGCACTCTACTCCTTATTAGTTCCAAGCATTTTGTGTTTTATTGAATGCGTACATGGATGGACACTGGACCAAAAAGAGCAACTGTATATCCTAATGAGTGATCTGGAGCAATTGACAGCAGTTGGGAGATGATCTTCAGAGCAGGCACGTGCAGGACCTTGCGGGCTTGGTCTACATAGAGGTGCAACCAGGGGCTTCCCAAATATTATTCACAGAAAATGATTCATCATGAAGCTCACAGCACACTGCTGGGCATAATTATAAATTCTGTCTCAAAAGCAGCCATACAGAATAATAACCAAGATGAGTCATAGATAGGAGGGAAGGTCAACTAAGGCCAGGTGAGGTCATGACCATTTAGAAATACAAGTAGTCCTCATTTAATTGCCACGTTTGGGATCAGCAACTCTGTTGCTAAGCGATACGGTCATTAAGTGAGAGATCATGTGACTGTGACTTGCGATTTTACTGCCAGCTTCTCCACTGACTCTGCTTGTCAGAAGCCGGCTGCGAAGTGTGCAAATGGCAATCATGTGACCGTGGGATGCTGTGATGGTTGTAAAAGCCCACTGGTTGCAAAGCGCCTGAATCTGGAACCCTGAAGCACAGGGATGCTGTGATAGTCATAAGTACAAGTACCAGTCATAAAGTTACTTTTTCAGCTCCGTTGTAACTTCAAACTGTCACTAAATGGACAGTTGTGAAGCGAGGACCACTTGTAAGGACTTGAAATGTCAACAAAGCTTATTCTTAACTAAAGCATGGAAGGTGGGTAGCAAAAATAGAGATTTGGAAACCACATATTTTTCAAGTATGGTCAAAAAAAGAAAAGCTAGAAGCAAACTTTATTGTAAATGAATATAACAGAATAATATAAAGTTGGCCGTTTTCTAGATCATCAGTGTTATATTTCATTTCCTGAAATATGTATATGGCAAGGTTTGCTCTTCCTTTTTTTCCTTTTGCTCTTTTCTTTCATTACTTAAATCAGTTTGGCATGTTTTTAAGCCCTATAGTCTTCCATTAAATAGAATGATGAGTGAGAAAGATGATATTAGTGGCTTTTATTATGTGAAGGTGGCAACAAAACTGGTCTTCCTTCATGGATTTCTGCTTCTTCCCAACTTCCTTCTAATCTTTCAATACTCTCTACAAGGCTGGTCTGATTCTTTTTCTCTGTTTCCTCGAAATAAAAAATAAGACGTTGGCTTGATATTGCTCTTGAGAGAGGCAGAACTGTACAGCATTGAGGAATAAAAGCCTGACTTGGAGGAGCATTTACTCGTGCTCCTTCTGTAAGTGGATGTAAGCTCTCATATGCATAATTACAAATATAAACAGACATTAATGTACCTCCAGTTCTGCAACTAGCTTTCAATTTTGAAAAAAAAATATCAACAGCTTAATTTGGAAAATGGAAATCACAATGTTGATTAAAGTGGCTGACTGAATCTTAAAGCCTGTAATTTATTGATAAAGCTTGGAAAATATATAACAAAGAACAATATTTAAAATGATAAAGGCTATACTTTTCAAAAATTTCATGCAATACAAAATAATAGAATTATTATTACACAGCTGTTCTTATGAAAAAAGAAATGGAACAATATAAAGAAAGGAATTTTCCCAATAAGCATCTTCGTCACTTTGAAAACTAAGTATTATTGTTGCTGGTTGCACAGTCAGCCAGATGTTTAGACTGGTTTGGGATTTTTGTCCACCTATTGAGTCCTTCCCGAGGACCTGGAAGAGGCAGATGTTGTTTGATGGTGTTAAATATATCGTCATGAGTAAAGCTCCTTTTGCAATGGACTGATGCTGATTTTGTCAATGCCGATGGTCTTCTAGCTCTGCTCCAGATGTTTTGGGATTGGACCTAAGGAACCTATAACTATTGGTACTATCTTTGCTTTCTTTTGCCACAGTTGTTCTACTTCTATTTGCAGGCCTTTATATTTTGTGATTTTCTCCAATTCTTTCTCGTCTATTCTGCAGTCTCCAGAGTAGTCCACTATCCAGACTTTTTTGTCTTTCTTATCAACAATTGTTAACTCTGTGGTGTTGTGTGGCAGTTGCTTGTCTGTTTGAATTCTGAAGTCCCAAGCACTTTAGCTCTTGTGTCTTGTAGCTCACATTAATTTTATACATTCCTAATGAAACCACATATTATATGCCAAATAAAACTACAGAATAAAACAGTGAACATACAGTGTCACTGACACTTCACAACTGGTCTTCCTCCATGGTCTTCTGCTTTTCTGGCTTGTCCTGTTCATCCTTGAAGACTCTTTGCAGAGCAGCCTTCAAAGATGCTCTGGGCTGATCCTTTCCTGTCTGTTTCCTCCC